GTTGCTTTTGTCTATCAGGACAATATCGGGACGGTTAAAGTCTACAGTTTTGTCGGTTAGAAATGGCCGATCCCAATAGAGTATTACATCTTTTGATTCCAGAACTGGCTCAGGCGTGTACTTGTAATATGGCGGAGGAGATTGTACCAAGTTAAGTTTACGAGCTAGCTGTGAATGGATTATTTTTGCAACCTGGTTGTGTCTTCCCAAATAATCGCCAGCTGCCAACGCAGGGCAAGCTCCAGTAATATGTTCGATGGTTTCGCCCGCCTGGTTGCACTTCCTACATTCATCTGGGACGTTGGATTTGAGAATATGTTTTTCATAGTTTTTTGTTTTTATTACTTTGTCCTGGATGGCAGTTATGAACCCTTCCGTTGTTGGATGGAGATATCCCTTTCTCAAATAGGTGAATGACAAAGCTTTATCTATGTTGTCACCTCTCAGTTGGCATGGGTAACGGCCATGGAGAATTTTCTCCTCCCAGCATTCTCTACTAGTATTCGATTCCGAGGCCGTATTTGCTTGAGGTTGCCGAAAGCTCAAAGGGGTAAATGAGTCATCTGCCTCCACTACAGCAGCTATCTTAGGACTTAGATGGTTATGAAAGTAATTTTGTAATTTGGCTATCTGAGACTTGCAGAGTTGTGTTATGTTGAGCAATCCGCGGCCCCTTGTGCGCGAGGGAGGTACAGCCGTTTGGTTGATGCCTTTGGGTGGGACAGTGGAACTTTGTGAGCTTTATACGAGTGATTCTGTCTAGCTCTTCAAGGTCTGTATTACTCCATTTCACAATACCGAACGAATATGTAAGTGAACTTATTGCCCAACTGTTGATTGCTTTGAAAAGATTCTGCGAGTTTAATTTGGTGTTGAGTAGTTTTGTAAGCCGACGGATGTACTTTCTCTATAGATTGACTTCATGGTAGAATGACACACACCCCTACTTTGGTGCATCCCCAGGTACTTATACGGTTGGTCTTGCTAGAGGCGCGATGTTTTCTAAATTTTCTTCCAAAAGAGTTAGGTTACCTTTCCTTATAGTGACAGTGGCGCACTTATCTAACCCAAATTTCATTCCTATATCATTGCTGAATATACTTGTCGTTCGCACTAGAGAAGCAAGATGTTGCCTTGACTCGGCGTATAGTTTGAGGTCATCCATATACAGCAGATGGTTGAATCTGGTAGGCTCACACACATCGAGCCTATACCCGAACTTGGAATTATTCAGCAGTGATGACAGTGGGTTCAGGGCTAGACAGAACCACATCGGGCTGAGAGAATCACCCGAAATATGCCTCTGCGTATGCGCACGTCTCCTATGTCCTCCGAATTAACTCTTAAAGAGGTTCCCCAGTTCATCATCAGATGGGACAATAGGTTTATGATGCGGATGTCTACTTTATATATATCCAGCACCTTTAAAAGCCAATTATGTGGCACGGAATCAACGCCTTAGAGTAGTCGATGTAGCAGACATGGAGATTTCTCTTATTTTTACACGCATGCTTCGTAATAACGGAATCAATTATAAGTTGCTCTTTGCATCCGAAAGAACCACGGACACACCCCTTCTGTTCTGTAGCAATGATATTGTTGCTTTCACAGTGAGTATATATTTGGTCATTCAAAAGTGCTGTTAGTAGTTTATAAAACACAGAGAGACATGTAATTGGTCTAGAGTTTTTCGGATCTTCAGGATTGCCGTTTTTAAATATAATATGTGTTATTCCTTTCGTCAAGAAGTTAGGTAATATCTCCGGGTTGGTGATTGCTTTAGAAAGTGATCGACCCAATGCAGCATGTGTGCTTAGGAACTTCTTGAGCCAAAAGTTCTGAATATTGTCGGGTCCCGGCGCTTTCCAATCAGCAGCATTTTTTAGCACTCTACTTACGTCATCTTGAGAGAATATTGCAACGCTCATTGGGTTTACCTTAGCTGCCTTCACTACCTCTTTGATCCAAGGCGCATTAAGGTCTGATGGCTTTGGTTCGGACCAAATATCACCAAAATTTAACAAAATTTTGCGTATCTCTAATGCCTTTGGGTTCCGAAGATGATTCTGGGATGATAGATCTGTAGAACTGGTTTTGGTTTCTCTCGAACAAGCATTTTGCTGCTTTCTTGCTGGTCTCATTATATCTTTGGAGCCGGGCACCTTTCATTTTGGCTTCTTGCCTCATTTTATCTCTATGCAGGTTTAAAAATGAGCTATCGATATCGCAGCTGGGGGGTACGTTAATTTTCCGTTTAATATCTGCAATTTTCTTGATCACCTTTCGGGACCTATTGCCTCCTTGGTATTCTGAAATGAGATCCGCCTCAGCTCTACATGAGTCAATATCTTTCATGAGTCTTAGTTTCCATGGCTCCTCACTACGTTTCGATGTCTTTTTAAGAGGCGCGTCATTAGGTGGTAGTAACTTTTGACCATTCACGTTCACCACAGTAGCAGCTGCCGCATAGATAGATAGATGTACTTCTTCTAAGTCATCACAGTGTTCTAGGTGGCGTAAAAAATCTCTGATGTATTATTTGATTGGATTTGCATTTAGTAGAAGCTTTGGGAGCCTAGGCCTTTTTGTGGGGTCACTAAATCGGTAGAAGCTTAAGGTGCTTAGAAAAAGATCATTCAGCTCTTTTTGCTTTTGGCTAGTTACGCATTCAGGTTAGTAGATACTGGTGCACTCTGGGCGCCCCCCACCACTTCCACTTTTTGGCCACGCCCACCACATCCACCGCGTGCTCTGATTGGCGGATCAAACGGCGGGAAATTTGAACGGGGTTGATGGTATATGTTGATTGGCGGGAACCGCTAGATCCACCGCGTGCTCTGATTGGTGGATCAGACGGCGGGAAGTTTGAACGGGTTGATGTGTTATATGTGATTGGCGGGCCCCGTTAGATGGCGCACCCGACCGGAAGTGATTCAGACAGCCGACGATAGTAAGGTGTAGTATAACGTCTATGCGTAAGCGATGTGACTCATTTCATGTTTTGCGGTAAATATTTGCATATAGATCGATAAAAGCCCATGAATAATGATATTTATAGATGCAATTCTGCTGATTCAGTTTAAATGGAAAAACGTATAAAATTCGCGGGAAACAATGCGTATAGGATGATCTCAATAATCAACACGTCATATTCAGTGTGCATATAAAAATGGAATTGCTCATATATGTGGTGCATACAGTTAATGTTAGTTAATTTTTAACATTGATACAATATTGAAAACATAGTACAGTCTATATTGTGTATCTAATAAATTCAACAAGGCAATCACCTACGTCGCAAATGAGGTTAGGTTCAGGGCAGGTGTTGTCGTAGCGGTGATATGCAAGAAGTACCGGGCGGGGCTGTTAAGCATGGGTGAATGGGCAGGAAGCGCAGGCTGTCAACGAGTTAATACTGACCAACGATAACAGCGGTGACCTTGAAACACTGTGGTCAGTTAAAAAGTGGTGGGGGTAAAATCGAGATTATAAATACCTATGAATCACCGCAAATTATCTTGTCAGTTATCTGCAGCGAACAGACGTGCTCAGTTCAGATTTAGTCGCTAGTTAACGTTTTAGTTTTTAAAAAATGGAAAAATTCTTCATCGTTAAGGATTCTACTAAGAAGATTAAAAAATTTAATCTATATGGGCGAGAAGTGGAATTTAAAATACGACCTATCCCTAAAGACGTCGAACCTGTGGGATGGATCAAAGACGCTCTGGAGGAAATAGTAGCCAAAGGAACTGAACATCTCCAGCCCAGTGATCAAGTTGGATTCACTTTCTGTTCCAAAGACTTTACCCGCGGTCAAGGATGGATAGCTTTTAAATTGTTTTCCGACGTTTCAACTGAGGACATATGGGAGAAGATATCTTCCATCTATCAGTCAAATTCTGTGGGGTTGAATACCGAGACTTTTTGCTTGGGTATTACGTCCGTAAGGTTGCCTGCTGGTCGTGGTAGAGCTCAGAATTTCAATACCTTTGATGAGGAATGCGCCAAAAGAAAAGGCATTATCACCGTTAAAAACACCGATAATTTGTGTCTCCCACGAGCCCTTGTCATCGCCATGGCCCATTTGAACAAAGACAAAGATTATAGCAGAATCCGCCGTGATCGAGGAAAAATACAAGGACAAAGAGCTGTACAACTTGTGGAAAAGGCTGATATTGTTATCCCTGAGGAGGGGTGTGGAATACCTGAACTTCAAAAGCTACAACGATATCTGCAAAACTACAAAATTGTTGTATACAAGTTTGGGTGCAAAGGTCGTGACGTCATTTTTGAAGGCGTGTCCGCTGGTCCGACGCTTAACCTAATATATCACGAGGGGCACTACAGCGTCATAACATCCCTCACTGCTGCCTTTTGCTGCAGCTTTTTTGTGAGAACTGCCACATTCCGTATAACTAAACAAATTCATAGATGTGATAAACAATGTTATGCTTGTAAAAGATCTCCGGCCTGCCTGAAAACGAAGCACATCAAATGCAAAGAATGTAATAGAAGCTTTTATGGACAAGAATGTTTTAACGCTCATTTACCATCGGTCTGTTCTAAAATTAAAAGATGTGTAGACTGTTTTAAAGTTCACAACGGTAATGATCACATCTGCGGATATATACTTTGTAAAACATGTTATAAAAATCAACCAATTGAACATATGTGCTATATACAGCCTGACAGAAGTATTCCTAAATCAAATGATGTCTTATTAATATTTTACGATTTGGAAACCCGTCAGGAGAAGGAATTACCCAATGGATCTTTACATGAGCCAAATCTATGTGTATTCAAACAATGTTGTGAATCATGTACCGATAATCCTATATGCAAGAAATGTGGCCTTCGATTACAGATTCTTCGATGTCAAGACGTCATTTCTCCATTTATGCATCATATTCTGACACTTCGTAAAAAATTCAAGAAAGTCATTGTACTGGCGCATAATGGTGGAGGATTTGATCATCAGTTTCTACTTCGTTACATTTTAGAGAAGACTAGTCTGTACCCGAATGTAATTATGAGAGGAACAAAATTAATATTGATGGAGGTAGGAAATGTAAAATTTCTGGATTCTCTCAATTATTTTCCTATGCCTCTAACTGCTCTACCCAAGGCGTTTGATTTGAAAGAGCTAAAGAAAGGATACTTTCCACATTTATTCAACACTTTGGCTCATCAGAATTATGTAGGGCCAATTCCAGCGCTCGACTTCTACGATCCCGACCATTTAAAGGAAGACGCTCGGGAAAAATTATTAAAATGGCATGGCGAAAGACAAGCGGAGGGATACGTTTTTGATTTTCAGAAAGAAATCGTTGAATACTGTATCTCCGATGTGGAAATATTGACACAGGCGTGTCTCAAATTTCGAGACCTGATGAAAACCGAAACCACAGTCGATCCCTTCCAGGAAAGCACCACTATTGCATCATGCTGTAACAAAGTCTTTAGACGCAATTTTTTAAAACCTGAGACGATCGGGGTAATTCCAAAAGGGGGCTATAGATGGCGTGAAAATCAGTCAAAAATTGCCATCCAATGGCTGTTGTGGGAGGAACATCAAAGAGGAATCAAAATTCAACACGCCGCTAAGGGTATAGAAACCATTGTTAAGGGACATAAAGTAGACGGTTTTTGTAGCGACACAAATCAAGTGTTTGAATTCCAAGGATGCTATTTTCACGGTTGCCCTCGATGTTTCAAATACAACAGAAGCAATCCTCTGCATAATGATCCGTTGAATACATTGGAAAGTCGATACGAACAATCAGTTAGCAAAGTAGAGAGACTCCGAAGCCTTGGACTAGAAGTAATTGAGATATGGGAATGTCAATTTCGAGGAATGCTAAACGATGAAATTAGAGCCTTCACAGAAGCACATCCATTGATAATCAATTTACCGATTAACCCCAGAGACGCTCTCTACGGGGGACGTACAGAAAATATCGTTGAATACTACAAGATCAAAACAAATGAATGCATAAAATATGTCGATATATGTTCCCTGTACCCCTTCATCTGTAAATATGGAAAATTTCCGGTGGGTCATCCAAAAAAAATTTACGTAGGTGAAGAATGTGTTACAGCCTCTCTGTCGCAGATGTCAGGACTTATTAAATGCCAGATTCTACCGAACCAGAACTTATACACCCCGTTTTACCGTCAAAAATGAACAACAAATTGATGTTTGTTAACTGTCAAAAATGTGGTGAAGATTTCGTTCGAGAAGAGTGTCAGCATTCTATTCAAGAAAGAAGCCTAAAAGGAACTTGGGTGATAGAAGAGGTGCTCAAAGCTATTGAAAAAGGTTACCAGAATAGAGACTTACGAAATATGGGAATACGATACAATTCAGCTCAGTAAAGACCAAGAGGGGTTATTTAGCGGAATGATGAACAAGTTTCTACAAATAAAACAACAAGCTTCAGGATGGCCCAAACATTGCTTAACGGATGAAGAAAAAAACCGTTATATTGATGCATTTTTGGATAGAGAAGACATAAAGCTGGAATTTTCAAAAATTATAGAGAACCCCTGTTTGAGATCGTTAGCTAAACTTATGCTGAATTCCTTTTGGGGTAAATTTGCTCAAAAAGAAAACCAAAACAAAACCTCAATAGTCAGAGACTGTGGTGAATTCTTTGATATGCTGACTAATCCTTCTATTCATGTAAATACAGTTCTCCCGGTAAACGAAGAAACCCTTCTCATAACTTGGGAATTTAGAGAAGAGGCCTATGACGTTTCTTCAACGGTTAACGTTGTATTGGCTTCATATGTCACGGCCCTAGCTAGACTAAAATTATATTCATTCTTGGAGAAAGTGGAAGAAAGGGCAGTTTACGTAGATACAGATTCATGTATTTATATCTCTCGTAAGGGATTAGACGACATATCTACAGGCGACTTCATAGGTGATATGACCGATGAGCTCAATGGGGGTTTCATATCAGAGTTTGTTTCTGGAGGACCTAAGAACTACGCCTACAAATATACTACTTTGTCTGGAGAGGAACAGATCGTATGTAAAGTAAAAGGCATATCACTCAACTACAAGGCATCCCAAGTAGTCAATTTTGAGAAAATAAAAGACATGGTGCTGAAGAAATCTGATCCTGTTTCTGTACTTTCTCGACAGCTACGACGTACAAGAGAGCATGCAGTAGTAACAGTCGAGTTTCCTAAGGTATACAAGATAACTTCAATGAAAAGGAAATTCTATGAAGATCATACCTCTGTACCATTTGGATTTAAGAAAATAAAGTATTGATTTATTAATGTATGTAAATATTTTTTAATAAACATGTAAAATAAAATGTATGCAAATGATTTTTTGTTTTTTATTTCCCGCCTAATTGAAAAATATTTTTGCACCCGAAATTGTTCAGCCTTTTTACTCCATATAAAAATTTAAAAGTATGCATTGTTATTATTAAACGCCTGCAGTAATATACACCAAAAAAGAGAAGCAGTGTAACCATGTGGAACTTTGTATAATCACAAAAAAATATCTTGGAAAATAAAAAATACAGCAGATTCATAAGCAGTGTAGAGAGGAAACTACGTAAAAGTAATCGATTATTACTAATAAAATAGAGTTTTGAATTCCTATTTTTACAATAATAATCATTTTACTATCTTACGTGTTGGGCACTGCACTGCACGGGTACCAACACTGTACTGCACGGGCACGAAAAATTGAGAAGCATGATAACCATGTAGAACTTCGTATCACTACGTAAATGGTTATTACGAAAAGTAGAAATC